ATAATATTTAATAAATAATTACATTTGTATGATTTACTATGTTCGTAACTCGATTTTAATAGCAAACCTCCCATTTGGTTTGGTTTATTTATTTATTATTTATGTGGAGAAAAAAACTGTGCATGTGAAGTGTTCTGTTTAACATTGTGACGAAATCCCGGACTTAAAGAAAGAAATAATGCTTCGAGAGTCAATTTAGAAATTTTCCCGAAACACGGAATGTATGCATATATAAATATATTCCATTTTTTTTTTTTGAAATAATTATGCAATGCTCGACATTTGATAATAATTAAAAAGATATTATTAGCAAATTTTTACCATTAGGAATATTAAATCGATATAGTTTGATATTGAATGCTTTAAATTAAGAAAAGTCACTAATTAGACCTTCTTATTTCTATTTTTGTTTGCGTTAAACTTTAGGAAAAAGATCTCCAGTAAATAAACCGACATTTAAAACCTTCCTTGCATCCAAAATAAACTTACAGAGCAGACAAAAATACTATCAATCCCAAAGGTTTAGTTCAATTTCTGTCATATTCACCATTAACTTGCCGCAAAATTGTCACAATACTTTCTGTCCGTGGATATTATACATCTAACATAAAATTTTCGTATATTGGCATTATTGATTCTACTTGCAGTTTGATATCAATGTCAATCAATCATATATTTGAAACCGATCTTCCTATTGCAAAAGCGCATCTATTTATAAACTTAAAAATGACGAAAAATCTACTCATTTAAATGGTGCATGATCATATGAGCCAATTATCTGTAATAATAAAAGTGACATCATTTGCAGTAATTTTTCGTTTCAGAACACGTGTAATTTGCACTACGTATTTATGATTAGATTTTATTTTATCAAATTTTGTTGTCACATCATATCATAACAAGTATATATTAAAACTATTTCACAGCCTTGATTTGTGTGACATTTTGAGACGAAAATTCTAATGATGATGTTGACTAAATAAGTTATGTCCGCGAGTTAAAACTCTTTGCGTTAATAGATTTTAAATGTGCGCCATAATCAATTTAAATGAGTAGCTTAAATGACTACCAAGCAATAGTGATCTCTTTTTATGCTCCATCAGTGATAAATTTTAGCCAATCAGCATAACTCTATGGTAACTCAATCTCTAAATTACATTTCCTTAAACTTGTAAAAATTATAAAAGCCTCGGAGAGTTTTCTAAAAAAATCTTGCGCCATTTTTCTTTTCTTTAAGTTCGTTCTTTCTTCGGATTTCGTTGGCATAGCGGAATGCGGCTTACTTTGTTATTCAATTATTTTATCACATTTATTTTTTAAGCCAACTTGGGATCGATGTATACATTATTTACGTTTGTTTTTAATTTAATTAGTTCCGACTCAAAATTCTGCATATAATATTTGCTAAAATTTTGCAGATATTTTGATTAATAAATAATATTACAATCTATTTGTATTTAAAATTTTATTAAATTGAATTTAATAGTAATTTATTTTACAAAACTAATTTTTTGTTTATTTATAAATAAAATTGGTCGTAAATTGCATATAAAAAAAACTTTTTGACTCAATTGAATTGAACTGGTTTCATTTACCATCATTCCTAAATAGTTAATGAAGATATAGTGAATGTGGTTTCTCCCATAAATCATTTTTTTTTTTTTAGTGCAATAATAAAAATCTATTTTAATTTCTGGAAATAAAACCCGTGAATTCGGAGAATTTGATAGGAATTTACATAGGGTATTTGACAGAATTATTTAAATAATTAGCATTATATTTACAGAATTTATCATTATTCAACCATTTGCTTAGAGATGTGAAGCCTGGACCTCGCTAAATATGTTCTTGTACTTGCTTTTTTGAATTACATTTTTGAGAACGTACTTTTTCCATCATTTATTTATTTATTTTTTATCACTTTTCTTTGCCTCTAATTTTTGGACCTGTATTTTACGTACTTTTTTCATATCGCGGGCACTTTTTGAAAAAAATCCGAAAATTTTGATATTTGATAACTTTTTCTTTGGTAGCATTTGAATAATATTAAAATTTTAAATTGATGCATAATAACTTCAAGAATAACGGAATATCTCAATTTTTTGATAATACTCTCAAATATTTTTTTATTATTATTAAAAGAAAAGTACTCAAAGTAGTTCATTATTATCTCCAAATTGTGAATCTTTTTTTTTGGAACAAAATGAAGGTATCACATATAAAAATCAATTTTAATATAAGCTATGTATGAAATTGAAATTATTAACGATGAAATTTTATATTTTTTACATACAATTAGAATTAGGATATGATTGAATTCCATAAAAATAATAAAACTTGATAACAATACCAATACGCATACAAAAAAAAAACTAAAAACAAATAAAGTTGGAACCATTCGTTCATACCATCCCACCCTCAAATATTCGTTCATACCGCTCCACCCTCAAATTCGTTCATACCGCTCCACCCTCAATTTAGTACACAAATTCGTTCATCCCTCCTCCCACAATTTGTTGTCTCTCACTCCCTCATCTAACTTTGTTCGGTGCCCCCTCTCTCACCTTCGTCCATTCCCACCTTCCTCATTTCTTGAGGGAGGAGGGTATGAACGAAGGTGAAAGGTGGGAAAACGAACGAAAGAGAGATTGGAAGATAGAAAACTTATACCTTGTAATTTTAAATGAGAATAAAAACGTTACAAGAGGTCGAAAAAAAAATATTGAATAAAAATAATAAAAATTCACACAATAACTAACTCACAATAATACGGTAAGAAAGAATGCAGACTTATAACTTGAAAAATTTTGTTATTTTCTTTAAATTTTGATTCTGAGTTGAGATAAAAATAAACCTATTAATTATTGTTTTTATCCTTATTATTTTATGACAAATAAAAGGAACTTACAATTAAGGCGAAGAGGATATTGGATACGCATACATGACAAGAAAAATTTTATAGTAATTTTTAAGAACATTTGTGAATTTCGAATGGCTTTTTATAAACCTTTACACATTTTTTAGATAAGAAATCAAATGGTTTTGTTTCAACTTGGTTTTTTCTTATTACGGATAGATTGAGAAAGTTTAATCGTTATCACTAATATTATCTTTGATTATCTAATGATTTTTGGGAGTATTGGTACAATTTGGCGTCGAAATTATATCATTTCTGCACGCCTTTTATTCATTATTTACAGAGATAGATAGATAGTGTTCGAATATAAGTTTATCAATTTTACTTTGTGGAACAAATTTAGTTAGTACTATCAGTTGATCAGGACATTAGCCAAAATGTTTTCCCCTAAGAATAAATTTTCTATCTAAATAATTTTATTACGTTATAGGCCAAAAATTCGGGTATTAAAAAATCCGCATAAAATATAAGTTTTGTCAGAATTATAATAAATCCGTGCTGGTATTTTGAACCCGTTGCAGGCCTCTACTTTAGATAAATATTGGGTAAAAAATCTAAATCATCTAGGGAATAAAATAAACTCATTGTATGAGCTTTCTAATCGTAGCTTTTTCAGCAATACTATCGGGACTTCGTTATTTCTCTCATACGGAGTCTTTTGAGATAATTTAATTAGGCGTACCAATATATTGAGCGTACGTGGCCATCTTTTGCTGCTTGATATAAATACTTTAACCTTGCGTATACCACCTTGACCATTATAATATCCATTAAGGTAATAATATATCCTACACATAATTTTGCTGTCTTCGATTATTTAATTTAATTTTTACGGAATGAATTAAATTTATATAAATCCCTTGCGTTTGCACTATGTGCTGCAAGATTCAATTTATTTCAAGTTTAATACATTAAAACATTTCATGTATGAACGTTGTTTTGAATTAAATTCTATCCTTTTTCTTGATATTCGATCGGTGTTAATCACATCGGGTCCATATCATGGAATGATTAATTATCTCGTTAGATAAAGAAAAAAATCGTGTCTTCTTGATAAGTATAAAATGACAATACTAATTAAAAAGAATAGTTACTAATAAATTACACTTGGCTTTAGTATATATACGTTTTTCTCAGAATTTCTCAGGAGGAGTCCATCTTGGATATATTGATTTGTTGATGTAATCTTCTGCCAAGCAAAATTCGTGAAGTTTAACTTGTAAAAATGTTCAAGTAATATAATCTACCGTGCGAAAATGAAAGTGGTTACCGAAAGTGTCGAATGATGAATTGGGTTTGACTACTACCTTGCAGCCCATCAAACCGAGTCTTAATAATTAGGCTTGGTGGAAATCGAATGATGGACTAGAATTTGAATAATAAATAAACGAAAGAAAATGGGACCCACGACTATTTAATAGAGAGATTGTGAGAGTTTAAAGTTTATAATAAATTTTCGGCACAAAAAAATTTGCTAATTTTATCGCAGGGAATGATTATCGAAATGTATCCCGAAAATCTTACCATGAAGCTTTTTTTTTTTTTTTTTTTTTTTTTTTTTTTTTTTTTTATAAAAAAATTCACCTCGATCTAAACACAAATTTATAAGAGTATTTATTCTATTGATGATTTCTCCGAGATTATTATCTCATTAAATTTTTAATGTTGCTATTATTCCTGCGTCTTTTCATTGTATCCGCCAATTCTTGAATAACTTACATTGAGGGTCTTTCATCGAGAATGGCAATATGTAACACGAAGAAATAAAAAAATTAAATAACTAAATCTCATTATTGTACATCAACTAGTGAATATATTAAAATATTATTAAAATAAAATTTTGGCGAAATTATGATTTATAACATGAAGATAGGTATTATTCATAAACAACTTTTTTACTAAGAAAAAAATATTTTAATCCTTGACGAATTTTAAAAATTATGCTGTTAATACTTTGATAATAATCTAAATATAATAAAATACAAACAATAAAAAGCAAAATGTTCTTTTCCGCAAATTCTTTTCAATGGTAATTAAAATATCAAATCCAGAACCATAGTAAGATCCATTATCATGGATTTTTCTATGAATCAGAACTGAAGTAAAATTGAGTTCTACATAAATAAATATATGATAGATACTCACCTATATTTTCAAAGTATCATTAAAAAGTAAATTTATCCATACTTTACGGCTCCGTGCGCAACTGCAACAGTAGGTTGAGTAGGAATTGAAATATTTATTCTATGTTGAAATTCTTTTTTTATACTGTTTTGTAAATATTTTGATTCACTAAAACTTCCAATTAAAAACATTGATGAACATTTTATCCCTAACCAACCCTGGATTAAATGCACATTTTCGCATAATCGCTTTTGCTTTATCCGAATAATCAGCTGGATACGTAAGAACTAACAACACTTGATGAAGGATGTCTATGCCTATCCAACGACTTGCAATCGTCTCCTTAATCACCTTAAAAATTTCAAGTAAATAATTAATATATTTATTAAAAGATTTTTGAGAATTTGATCATACCTTTCCGATTTCTCTAAGATAATCAGTAATAGCCTTTTCATATCTAACCGGAAGTTTCGGTTTAAGCTCGTCCGGTAAATTGCTTAAATGTAATTTAAATAATTCAACCGGTTTCGTTTCATTATCTTTACCTATTTTCTTTTTAAAAGGTGGTCTTTTAAATAAAGCTGGAGCACCCCACGACATTACATTAATATATTCATCATCATATTGAAGAACTGTATTGGTTTTTAGTTCGCCAAAAGAACCAGGCCAATCATAATTTGTGTGAATCACTAATATGGCAATAAGCAAATCCAGAGTAAGTTATTCCAAAGTCTAATCCAACCACGACTTTAATACAACCTTACAAATGTAAAAATTTTAGTCTAGCTATTTAATCAATTTAAAGCTTACTCCATCAATACCTATACATCTGCACACTTACATACCATTATTAAAAAAGCTCCACGAATTTTCAACATTTTCGGAGAGTTGAAAACTATAATTATCACTTAAAGGAAAGTCATTTGTTTCATAGTTGATACTATTTTTTGTTCACTGCTTTCACTAATTAAAGGTTTATTTTTTTCTTTAAGAATTTTATTATTATTCTCATTAATTTCGTCTGATTCTAACATTTCTAGAGTTTTTTCTATATTTTGAGAAATTACTTGGATTTCAATTTTTTGTTTTTCAAAATTTAAATCTTGTTGTTGAAGCTTTTCTAATTGCTCATCTCTTTCTTGAAGCTTTACTTTTAATTCGGAATTAATACGTAAGGTTTCTCGATTTTCTTCTTGAAGTTTCGTATGTTGCCGTGAAACCTTTTACTTTCCTCTAATCTTTGCTTTTCTAAATTTCGTTGAAATTCTTCAAATCGTTGAATCACTTTCTTGAAGAGCTTCTTTTAATTCCGAATTAATACGTAGGGTTTCTCTGTTTTCTTCTTGAAGACTTTCATGTTGCTGCCTAATTCTCTTATTTTCTTCTAATAAAATTTTTCAATTTATTATTTAACTTATCAAGACCGATTACAAGTCTGTCAGTCATAATATTGTTGTAACAGAATTTACTCCGATCCCTTAAATTGGTATTACAAAATGATCATATGATAAACTTTTTTTTTTAAAAAAAAAAAAAAAAAAAATAGCACAGAAAATAAATTTACTCAAGTATCAACACTTTTTTTCCCCACATGACCTTTGGCCGGCATTATGGCATTAAGAAATTAACCATGTGATGAATATGGAATTTTACCACTATAAAAATTCTAGCGGGGGATGCGATACGGTGACAAATATTTAACTTCCCCAGCGTAACCACCAAAAAATCACTGGCACGTGATTAATTTTGCCGATCATGTCTAAAATGGTTAGATTAATTTTAACGAAAATTTTATTTTTTTAAGTAAAACTTAATACAGAATTTTTTCAGCTTTTAAAATTATACCATCTATAGGAATTCGTACCT